ATTTTTTTTTTATGTTTTCGTGGAAGAGGGGAAATCTTCAGAAGACACCCAGCCGTCCGTACGACTGGGTAGTGTCGGATTCCCGAGGAAGAAGTCCTCGGACCTACCGACTAAAACCCCTCTACCTCAGGCCGTTTTAACCCTAACACTAGACCAACTCACATCCTTAACTATTTGCGAACAGTAATCTAACCTAGGTCTACCCCTCCTAACTCCTGTTTCTGCCTCTAATATGTCTCTAACCAGACCTTCATGGCTGAGAAGGTGTCCTACCAACCTACTTCGTCTATTTCTTATTGATTTCCACAGAGTCCTCTGCTCTCCTATTCTTTCTAATACCTCTTCATTTCTAACCTTCTCTATCCACGGTATCCCTATCATCAATCGCCCTAGGCGCCATATTTACAAAATCGCACCCTGGCCTTTCAGCCTATAGGTAAACATGCTACTGCACGAGGGGGTGTATGCCAATTGACAATTCTAAAAGTTTGCTTATCAGTCATCATGTACAAAGACGTTTGTGTCACAAAATCTTTATTTACAGCATTTTCAATTTATTTTCTTTCTCTATTTCCTACTAGGAAATAATCTTTTTCATATATGTTAAAATCATGGGACGATTCAGTTTTCTGTTTCTATTTCTGTACTGACTTCGAGTGTATAAAAATCACAATAATTAATGACCTTACCGTCATTCGAGCATTAGCTTTGATTGACAAGTTTCAAGTTAAGATATTCCTTAAGCTGAAGGCTAATCAAATAATGCACTACTCTAAGGCTTCCCTGTCATCCTGTCAGTTACTAATCGACTCCAATATTAACAAATACGAAACACTTGACTTCCGCTGTAGGTTAAGTAGGTACTAAAAAATTAGGGTTATCTCTCAATAAATTTGGAGATATATATTAAGTAGGTTTATTGGATTAATATAAATCAATGGCTAACTGTTGAATTAATCATCTACACAGCAAACAAGTATCGATATTATGTCTTTATTTATGTTAACGATGACGTCATAAGAAATTCAATATGGAGAACAGCAGACGCCATATTATAGTCACATAAAATAGTAGGTACTTTTTATGTTTATCTGCACTCCTATTTATTATTATTATTATTTTGTAGTAATAGCTACCTACGCAATAAAATAATATGTAATTATCTGTTAACGAAATTTATTTTTAGAAATTGAACTCAAGTGACCGGTTCATTTGTAGCTCTCGTTAGTACGTCAGCAAAATATCCCAATCTTCGTTCATAATCCGGTGACATACTGAAAAATTTTGTTACTCAAGGAACAGCTTTTTCAGCACGCCTAAGCTGACTAATACAATTAATGTAAAAGAAAACCATTCATCATCGCAGCTAAGCAATACACAACTCAAACTAATATTAAATCCAAATGCTTAAAAAAAATTGACGACTAGAAC